GTGTGCACTTTTAATTTAACTGTGCTGCCCTCTAGTGGCTGCAGAGTTCAACGCTTTCCTCCAAAGCATTTTTGGAGAAAAGAGAAATTTGATCCAATATTATTGAAAGAAAGTTTCATTAATGGATATTCGAAGAAACATTTTTAAGGAATTTAGGAGCTGGATTAATGTTATAGTTTTTAGTTTCTTTTTGGAGGGGAAGGTTTGGTTGGGCTCTATGGTTTCTGGTTGATCTGTGTGGACCAATAGGAATGAGTCTGCTCTGCTCTATTGGTCCATGAAACACAAGATAAGAAAAAATAAGATTTAAATCTCCTTGAAAGAAAAACTAAAAAAGATTTTTTGGAGGGGGAAATAAAATCTATAACATTCAACTAAAACGTTTTAACCAAAACTGTTTTTTTTTTGCTTCTAACAATATTGGAACAAATTTCTCCCCATACATGGAGGTTTCTGGGGGAAATGTTTTGAACGGGCTCGCATATTTCTTTGTTTTTCAAGTGAGGAAGCAGCTGTAGTAGTCAAGATGTCTGCTGTAGCCGAACCGTCCGGAGAAGAAGCTAACACTCGACACCAGATTCAGATATGATCCATGCTAAGGGCTTTACATAAAATAGAACATCAAATATGTGACTGAATATCTGTACAGGATAAAAATAAAAAAAAAGACAGCAACACTGCATATTGTGATTGTACTGGAGCCGCCTTCTCAGTCTATTTGTAAAACATTCTCAGTGGTCAGTCAACGGACACGGCGACGATCTGTGCAGGAAGCTTCCATCCAACCACATTCCTCTTGATTTTTTTAAAAAGATCTCACAGATTAAAAAAGCAACAGGTCCGAGTAGATGACGTGGTCAATGGCACAGTTTGGAGGCTCAGGGACCAATGAGCTTCGTTCTCTCATCATGTCGGGCAGGAAACCGTCACCGCCGGGCTGCTCGGTTCACAGTGAGTCTCTGATGACGATGGGCGGAGCTAACACCAGTCAGCGATGTAGTCAAAGTCAGAAAACAGGTTCTGCTCCTCTGAGCTCAGGTGTCGAGGTTCTCTGGGGGGGGTTAAAATCGGAGCCTCTGAGGTAAATTCGTCATCGAAGTTGCTGACGTCGTTGGCGCCCTGGATGGTCGGCACGAACGGCGGCTTCACCTTCTTGGCCAGCAGCCCCTCCCAGTCCACGTTCTGTGGGTGCAGACGGCGGCCGTTAGCTTCCCGCTTCGTTAGACGTTAACCAAAAACGATGTTTTCTCGTCTCTTACCCTGAAGAATAGATGTTTCTTCACTTCGTCTGCGTCTCTCTCTCCCGCTCCCAGGCGGCGCTCCGGGCTCCTCCTCAGCAGCTAAGAACATTTATAAAAACAGAAACTTTATTCGCTTCTGTCGGTGGCCACTAGAGGGCGCATTTCCCCCACGGAGGATTTACATCCAGAGAAACATTTTTAATTTCATAAAATAAAGAAGTTTAGAAAGAGGAAAAAACTCAGAACCACTAGCTCAAAAAAAAAGAAACTAAAATCAGATGATTTCTAGTTTAATCCTTTAAAGCTCACTCCGTGTAATTGGAATCCAGAACTTTATTACCTTTAACATTCAAAAAATATATGTCAACGTAATAAGAAGAAATGCCCGAATGTATTAAGAAAAATAACAAAAGTGCTTTGATAAAAAATTCATGAATAAACCTGCTGAGAGTTCCTTCATACTTACATTTTTAGTTTATAAACCTAAATATTATTGTTAACGAGGCTTATTAACTTTTCACCTTTTTCCCAACTTAATTTCCAGCAGGTAATATAACTTTTAATGTAACTTGATCTATAAACAGTTAAAGAATCAACAGCATGTTTTTAAACATATAATAGAGCCTTCATTGATTTTGAGATAAATGTTGATTTAAGATGATTAAGTTTAGATAATCTAGTACCGGCTGTACTTAACGTTTTATTTATTTTGTATATACTGATAGAGGAACAAAACGAAGGGATTTTATTTTATTTTATTGCGTTTTTAAGGCACTAGTGGCTCGTTTTTTTTTACTGGAAAGAGGGAATGAGAGAGAGGGAGAGACATGCGGCATTACAGGCCGGATTCGAACCCGGGTCAGCCGCGTCGAGGACTAAAGGGCTGATTATCCTCCCGCCGCAGCGCGTCGCAGGTACGACGCCGATATTTTAGATTTCTGCCCAATATTGAAGCGTGGTCTGCGCTATGTTATTCCACGCCACAACGCCAGAGGGCCAATCAGGAACTAGCTGTGGGACTAGATACGGCCGAGGAGGTGAGGAAGTGGAGGCAAACGGAGGGACATGAGGGCCAAAAAGAGCGGGGATCCAGGTGGAAAAATGGTCCCAGCGTTCTCACGCACCTCGCTCTTCCAGCTGCTCCATCTTTATCAGTCGTTTTCCAAAATGGCGGTCAGACAAACAAAACAAGCCGGTGTAGGTACCAGATTGACTCGGGGTCCTGCGCCTTTTGATGACGTCACAATACATAATTGTTTTAACGTTTGCACAATTGCGCAAAACATTTTGATTGGTCTGGACAGCTTACTAAAGTAATTATAGCGGGGTGTAGGTTTTATTCGAAAGCGGGATTGCGGTTTGTAAACGGACAATTTTACGAAGAAATTCTCCATGGTCCCTGCGCCTTCCGATGACGTCACCGAATTCGCCATGGGCCTTGCGCCTCCCGATGACGTGACATTATGGGAACGCCACTCAAACAAACTACATTGAGCCCGCGGTCTGCATTTGTAACGAGAATAAATTCAGGAGAATGAAGCTAAAGGGATACAAAAAATAAACTTGTAATATTACAAAACCAAAAATACTACGAATACAAAGTATATTCAGAGATTAAAGTCCCTCTGATACTGTTTAAGTGACTGAGAAGCTACAGATTTGCCACATTTAAGATGGCGGACGCTCTGACGCATCTCAGCAAAAATTAATGAAAAATTAATGTTTTAATGTATTATAGGTATTTGGTCAATTAACGGACAGTGCCAAACGATTACCGTTTATTGGCTAAATAAAATAGATTTGTGACAAATAGAGACCGCGGGCGCAATGTTGTTTGTTTGAGTGGCGTTGCCATATAGTGACGGGCGGAGTTGCCATATTATGACGTCATCAAAAGGCGCAGGCCCCCCGAGTCAATCTGGTACCTACACCGGTAAGGAACCAAACAGGAAATACGCATAGAGTAGAGTGGATGTAGATTCGGCCAATCAGAGGCCTCCTGTCTGCGTTCACTGCGACACGCAGACGTCCTGGTTTCTGAGTCGTCTGGGTCGTGTTCACTAGTGACTGCACACCGAAGCACGTTTCTGATTAAATGAAGTTACAAAGATGGCCGCCCACCAACAGTCTGGCTTCAGAAACAATTCTTCCTTTTCAAACTTTTTCCCAGAAACATTCACTAAGTTTGGTTTAATGTTTCACAGCAAACTGCATGTTTAACACTAGAACTCCCAATGAACGCCAGCAGTGATGATGTCATCAACTGAAAGGGTTCTACTGTAAACCTTAAAACAGGTCTAATATATATTTTAAAGGCTGTAGGCTATTATTAGTATTATTTGTGGTCTAAATAAGTGAACAAAAGATTCACTATTGTCTGATTGGTCACTGATCCGATCATCATCCGTCTCTCCGTCTCCGCCTGAATCGCTACCATCGATATGTTGAAGCATTTCTAAGATCAAATGAACCATAATCTATTCTTTACGTTTTTATTTTGTAAAAAAAATAAACTGTGAAAATGAAGGAAATATAGAAACAGGAAAGTCAGCTAACATGAGCAACATATGATTAATGTAAATAAAGTTGTTTCCCTTTATGATCTCAGAGCGGTTCAAATGATGGCGTTGGGAGTTCTAGTGTAAACACGGTGGAGGCAGCAGCATGCTGCGGGAGACAAGAGGCAGAAAGAGTTCTGCTACCCACCCTCCTCATGATGGAGATGGCCTCAGTGGAAAGGAAGCGCGGGTAGCGAACTTCGTCGTTGACGATGCTGTCAAACACTTCCTCCTCGTCGTCGCCGGGAAACGGCGACTGGAAGGAAAAAAAGAAAAAACAGTAAAATGGATGTTTACTGGGAAGTCAGAGGAGTCTGCTGGGAGTCGGCGGCTCACCTCCCCAACCAGCATCTCAAAGATGAGGACGCCCAGCCCCCACCAGTCCACGGCGCGGGTGTACGACGTCTCCGTTAAAACCTCCGGCGCCAGGAACTCGGGCGTGCCGCAGAACGTGCTGGTGCGATCCCTGAAACCCATTCCTGAAAGCAGAGAACGGCGGCTCAGCAGATCCAAGCGGGAGAAAATCTACCGAAGCGTCCAGAGTTCACTCTACCTTCTTTGCAGAGGCCGAAGTCGGCGATCTTGACGTATCCCTCCGTGTCCAGCAGCAGATTGTCCAGCTTCAGATCCCTGATGGTCACATTAGGTTCGTTTACATCAACACACAGTTTTATCTCCCTGTTCTACAGACCAGAGCTACGGAAACCCAACAGGGCCAAAATAAGGAAACAGCCCCGGA